CTTGAGGGTGTCAGGAGATGCCACAGCTAGTTCACGAGGATTAGCTGGCGTAGGGATAGCTTTGAGTACTAGGGCAGAAAAGACATTGCTTGACTGGATCCCGGTAGATAGCCGAATGTGTGCTGTCCGCCTGAACGGATCAGTAAGAAGGAGAAAGGACTGCACTACTCGCCGATGCCTTTTCGTAATCTCCGCCTACGCCCCCACTGACTGCAGTTCAGATGAAACGAAGGATGAGTTCTACCAAAAGCTGTCTAGTTTGGTGCGAAAGGCTAAACGCTCAGACATAGTCGTTCTAGCTGGTGACTTTAACGCTCAAGTAGGGAAATTGTGTCAATCTGAGAAGGATGTCGGTGGCACCTATGGAGTTCCGTGCCAGCGAACCGACAACGGTGACCGTCTCCTACAGTTCTGCTCTGATAATCATTTGTTTCTTGTAAGCACTAACTTCAAACACAAGGAGAGACACTGTTTGACTTGGAGACCCCCTTCATCAAACCAACGCTGGACACAAATAGACCACATAGCAATAAGCTATCGTTGGCGTGGGTCGGTAGGAGATTGTCGCTCCTTCTGGAACACGTGCGTAGATACCGACCATGCACTGGTCCGCGCTCGGGTGTGCTTACGACTGAACGGACGTAGGAAACAGCTGGCGGTAAAACCATCACGTCCCCAGCTCGATCAGGAAACTAAATCCGTATTTGAGGAAGAACTAGCTAAACACATATCTGTGTTCGACAGCTGTGCTCACCCTGAAGAAGCTTGGAAAAATATCCAGGCAGCCATAGATACAGCTGTAAAAGCTGTGAATAAGGTAAACCCAAAGGTGAGTAAAAACCACTGGATCTCCACCGCCTCATCCGAACTGATAGATGCTAGAAGACTTATTCCGGCGAGCTCCGAATTCAATGAGGAGCGAAAGCTGCACAAGAGGAAACTTACGAAAAGTCTCCGCAAGGACCGTGAACAGTGGTGGGCGACAAAAGCCAAAGAGATGGAGAAAGCTTCGAGGATAGGCAACACCAGGCAACTCTTTAGACTCATCAGGGAAACGGGTGGGAGAAGACAAATCATTAGTGAGACAATCTCGGAAAAAAATGGCACTATAATTAGCTCCCAGGATAGACGACTGGATCGTTGGAAAGAGCATTATGAGGAGCAGTTTAATTTGCCCACAGCCACGCTCAACCTTCCGAGCATCCAACACCTCCCTGAATGGGATATAGACACAGGTCCTCCGTCCCTAACTGAGGTTACTAAAGCTGTCACCAATCTGAAACTAGGCAAAGCAGCGGGACCTGATGGAATGACTCCAGAGGTATTTAAGTACGGTGGAGACAGCTTACTGTCTGCATTAACTGAGGTACTAGGCAGCGTCTGGGAATCAGAAGAAGTCCCATCGGGTTGGTGTAAGTCACTGATTATCCCCATATACAAGAAGGGAGACAAGTCTTCCTGTGATAATCACAGAGGGATTAGCTTGACTAATATAGTATCTAAAGTCTTAGGCTCAATAATCATGCGTAGACTGAGTGGTGCTCGGGAGGCACAAACACGAGAGAGCCAGGCAGGCTTTAGACCAGGAAGAGGGTGTATTGATCATATCTTCACCCTCCGACAGATTCTAGAACATAGGCATTCCTACCGGCGTCCAACAGTCATTATATTTCTTGACCTAAAGGCAGCATTCGACTCTGTCGATCGAGAAGTTCTCTGGAGATGCTTGGCTGTAAAGGGAATTCCGAGAAAATATATTGCACTGATTAAGGCACTCTACTCGTACTCATACAGCCAGGTGAGGGCTTACGGCGAGCTGTCATCTGAACTGGTGACGACTAGTGGATGCCCATTATCCCCTTTTCTATTCAACTTCATCATAGATGTGTTAATGGACTTAACCCTAGGTGACTTCAGCGACTCAGGGATTGACTTGCTACCGGGGAATAATCTCGTTGACTTGGAATATGCAGACGATATAGTCCTTCTAGGCGAAGACGCTGACGAAATGCAGAGTCTTCTAAACACCTTGAGCCGCAATCTACGAATGTTTGGCATGCGATTCGCTCCCGCCAAATGCAAGATGATGTTACAGGACTGGACTACATCGACGCCTAGTTTAAAAATAGGAAGTGAAGTGGTAGAGCACGTTGACCGCTTCACTTATTTGGGAAGTACCATCAGCCCCAACGGGTTGATCTCTGACGAAATCTCAGCACGAATACAGGGGGCTCGTTTCGCATTTGCCAGTTTACGCCGACTCTGGCGTAGACGAGATGTTCGACTATCGACCAAAGGGCGGGTGTACTGCTCATCAGTCCGCTCCGTCCTCCTTTATGGTTGTGAGACCTGGCCACTGAGAGTGGAAGACATGAAAAGACTAGCTGTCTTTGATCATAGGTGCCTGCGTTCTATTTCCCGTGTAAAGTGGCATAATAAGGTGAGCAACATTGAGGTTAGGCGTAGAGTTCTAGGTAAACAGGGGAAATCAATCGACGAAGTCGTGAAGCTACAAAGACTGAGATGGTTAGGACATGTGTTACGTATGCCAAGTCATCGCCTCCCTCGACGAGCAATGTTAGCGGATATAGGGTCAGGCTGGAAAAAAGCTAGCGGCGGTCAAACAAAAACTTGGCACCAGTCAATGAAATCCACAACAGTTGGTCTAAGCCACGTAGGAAGGTGTAGACTTCCAGGCTGGGGTCCTCGGGACGGTAAAAACAAATGGTTGGAAACAATTGGTGACATGGCTCAAAATCGTTCTCAGTGGCGCAGATGCATCCACTCCTTGTGACTTATGATCTCCAATGAAACTGTTTTGTTCTTCTTTATTACTCCTTTGTCTCACACCTCTGCTCACTGTTTCTATTATGCTTTTCTTGTACTTTCTTCTCTTGCTTCGCGTGCTACACGGAGTATGGCGACTTGAACTTCCGCACATTTGTGCAAAGTTCTATGTCGAAAACAGACAGACAGACAGAAAATGTTTTTACGATTCACTTACTGTTGACTAGGCGTTAAAACTATTTAATTCAATTAAGATTTTTTCTGTCGATTGATTGGAAAGAAGTACTCGGTATCAGGTTGACATATCGTCACCTTGTGCAGGTGCTCCGACAATGTCCGGTCATGTCACTTGAAGTCAACTTGTGGATGCTCACTAGCAGTAAAATCCAGTATGTGCATTTCATCCTGTTCGGTATTGGCTCTCGTGACTCGGGTGGTCTAGTGAGTAATGCTTTGACATTTGAAACTACGGACACTGGGTTCGAGCCTCAGTGGGGCCACCATCACTCAATGGGGAATGCAGGTACATCCAGATGAAAAGTCCCAAATAGTCACCATCCACCAGTTGGTGCTAAAACTATGCTTACATTTATCATAACTTGGGGAATACCATTTTTCATTATTTGTCCTCTATTTTAAGGTGGCGCTATTTTAAAATCAAACAGGATACATATGAAGGCCTTTCATTCAACGGAAATGATGTATAGTAAATGACAGTCTGATTTTTCTTTGTTCATAATTATCAATGGAATCGTCAGTATGAAAATCACTGAGAAGATTTATTTGAATGAATTTGACTAATTCTCAATGGATCCGGTAAAAACTTTATTTCAAAAAACAGATAAAAATGGAGGTCAAGTTCCACAAGCATTGTTTACACATTAACTGCTTTAAGCATCAGTTGATGAAAGCATTTTTGACAGCTGATATTTAAGCATCTTAGATAAGTTTCATTTAAATTGCGGAATTTTATAATAATTCTTTGAGTCAATATATTCTTGGTCAGAAATCCAAGTTGGCTAAGACTCAGAGATTACTTGTTAACTTCTTGTGTTATTTACTACAAAAAGGATCCTAACTATAACCGAAGACCTCACAAGGTCATGAGAATGACCTCTCAGAATCTCCGTTCAAATGAAATATATTTAAAGATAATATAATATACAGCTTAAAAAACAAAGCTGAATAAAGCCAGGTTTCATTTCCGAAACGTCAGCTGCACATTCACATGAAATAAGTTAGTTTTGTAACTGCACAGGTAATTTGAGAATTTATTCCATCAACTGTTCTAACTTAATACCGGTTGATAAAGATGAAGAAAAGCTGATTAAAGATGAAACATATTGACTTAGCCAATCAATACCGCAAATCAACAATTAGGCTGTTAAAAATCCTTGCTAAAGAGCATCACAGTTCAGCTTTAAAAAACAACTCCAAAAAAAGAAAGAATTAATTTGTTTGCACATGAAAAAATGTTCTGATTTTGTTATAATGGCTAAAAATGATTTGGTATCAGTGTCTTTTACTTTGCAAAGAATTTATTGTAGAGAACTAACATAAAAAATACCGCAGTCTTAGTAGATTTATTTGTAACTAACATCATCATTACAGTTTTCAGGCACAGATCATTCAAAAAATTAAATTGTTCATACTATGTAAAGGTGATTGCATAGTTTGATACAGTTGATAGGAAGCTTTCAATGAATTAATTCAAGTTGCCGTTTGATTCATGGATAATCCAGCAGTGAGGATCTCCTAGAACGAACCAACCTTTGAACTATCACCAGACAAATGTACCGAAAAAGATGGAAATGGATGAGAAACACGTTAAGGAAACCACTGAGTGACATCGAGCTCCAGAACATCAAGCAGAACTCAAATTGAGTATGATGACTCTAGAGTAGGTGAGATGGCGACATGGAGGAGATCGTGTTAGGTGGAGACGAGGGCTTATGGACAACCATGAAGCCAGATAAAGAAGACTGCAGAAAACAGTGTGAAATAGGGACGTGCCGCTGAAGCCCTGCGTTCCCCTTAAACCCAGGGGAATAATAATGTAACCGTATTCTTAATGATCATAAGTGCAAGTGTTACGAGATTAGGAAAACAGGTATAATAGATATCGACGATGAAATGTTGCTGAATATATATATATATATATATATATATATATTTAATTTGAAAAAAAGTGTATTCAAGAAGAGAAAACTAACCTTTGAACAAAGTTAACAAATATTTTCAATTCATTGGTAGGCTGACAATTGGGCATAAAGTGATTTAATGGTGTTGACAATTCTTGTTCATTTATAGTTAAGGTATTATTCACACTTTCAGCATCATTTTGGCGTAGATAAGGTGGTGATGTGGGAGGATATGAAAATGGTGAACAATCATCTTGTTGACGGTCATTTGATTCAACTTTCACAGTTGCATTACTAACCTATTTGTTGATGAGAAATGGATATATGAAACAATTTAAGTCTAATCAACAGTGACAGACACATTAAATTAAATAGTGTAAAAATTGAGTGGAATAGACTTACAGGTCCTTTTTGTGCTTTTCAAGTCGACTGAACTTATAAATAAAGATATTTTACTGTAAGCTTCATCATCGATGGACATCAGTCGGGGAATCATTAAGAACCAGTGAACACAGGAGAGATGTTTCATCAATGACTGTGAGACATGGCCGTTGAAACTAAAGGTATGAAGACACTGGCCGTCTTGGACAACAATTGGTGTCCACATTGTATCTTTCATTTTTTGCGATATAATATAGTGAGGAATATTGGGGTTAGGTACAGTGTTAGGTGGTGAGGGAAAACTAATCAACTGAAATGGCTAAGACAAGCATTACGCAAGCCAGACTATCGCCTTCTTCGTACAGCAATGTTAACTGACATAGTACTAACTTGCGAAAGGCTGAAGAATGTATAAATTAAAATACAGCATCGATCAATGAGTTCTCTAGCTGTTGGTTTGAGTCATATAGCGAAGGGAAGTTTCCTCAGGTGAGAGCATTGACACCTCGAAATCCAGTGGCTGGGGGCTGTCGGTGACATGGCTCAAAATTATTATTGATGGTAAAGATTAATTTATTTTGTAATCTCCTAAATCTATTAGGTTCTTATTACTCTCGTGATAATTATTCTTTCTGCCGTCTGTCTGTCTGTCTGTTTTCGACATAGAACTTTGCACAAATGTGCGGAAGTTCAAGTCGCCATACTCCGTGTAGCACGCGAAGCAAGAGAAGAAAGTACAAGAAAAGCATAATAGAGACAGTGAGCAGAGGTGTGAGACAAAGGAGGACTAATAACGAAGAACAAAACAGTTTCATTGGAGATCATAAGTCACAGGGAGTGGATGCATCTGCGCCACTGAGAACGATTTTGAGCCATGTCACCAATTGTTTCCAACCATTTGTTATTACCGTCCCGAGGACCCCAGTCTGGAAGTCTACACCTTCCTACGTGGCTGGCTTAGACTAACTGTTGTGGATTTCATTGACTGGTGCCAAGTTTTTGTTTGACCGCCGCTAGCTTTTTTCCAGCCTGACCCTACATCCGCTAACATTGCTCGTCGAGGAAGGCGATGACTAGACGTGCATACGTAACACATTTCCTAACCATCTCAGTCTTTGTAACTTCACGACTTCATCGATTGATTTCCCCTGTTTACCTAGAACTCGACGCCTAACCTCAATATTGCTCACCTTATTATGCCACTTCATACGGGAGATAGAACGCAGGCACCTATGATCAAAGACAGCTAGTCTTTTCATGTCTTTCACTCTCAGTGGCCAGGTCTCACAGCCATAAAGGAGGACGGAGCGGACTGATGAGCAGTACACCCGCCCTTTGGTCGATAGTCGAACATCTCGTCTACGCCAGAGTCGGCGTAAACTGGCAAATGCGAAACGAGCCCCCTGTATTCGTGCTGAGATCTCGTCAGAGATCAACCGTTGGGGATGATGGTACTTCCCAAATAAGTGAAGCGGTCAACGTGCTCTGACACTTCACTGCCTATTTTTAAACTAGGCGTCGATGTAGTCCAGTCCTGTAACATCATCTTGCATTTGGTGGGAGCGAATCGCATGCCAAACATTCGTAGATTGCGACTCAAGGTGTTTAGGAGACTCTGCATTTTGTCAGAGTCGTCGCCTAGGAGGACTATACCGTCTTCATATTCTAAGTCAACGAGATTATTCCCCGGTAGCAAGTCATTCCCTGAGTCGCTGAAGTCACTTAGGGTTAAATCCATTAGTACATCTATGATGAAGTTGAATAGAAAAGGGGATAATGGGCATCCACTAGTTGTCACCAGTTCAGATGACAACTCGCCGTAAGCCCTCACCTGGCTGACTGTATGAGTACGAGTAGAGTGCCTTAATCAGTGCGATATATTTTCTCGGAATTCCCTTTACAGCCAAGCATCTCCAGAGAACCTCTCGGTCGACAGAATCGAATGTCGCCTTTAGGTCAAGAAATATAATGACTGTTGGACGCCGGTAGGAATTCCTATGTTCTAGAATCTGTCGAAGGGTGAAGATATGATCAATACACCCTCTTCCTGGTCTAAAGCCTGCCTGGCTCTCTCGTGTTTGTGCCTCCCTAGCACCACTTAGTCTACGCATGATTATTGAGCCTAAGACTTTAGATACTATATTAGTCAAGCTAATCCCTCTGTGATTATCACAGGAAGACTTGTCTCCCTTCTTGTATATGGGGATAATCAGTGACTTACACCAACCCGATGGGACTTCTTCTGATTCCCAGACGCTGCCTAGTACCTCAGTTAATGCAGACAGTAAACTGTCTCCACCGTACTTAAATACCTCTGGAGTCATTCCATCAGGTCCCGCTGCTTTTCCTAGTTTCAGATTGGTGATAGCTTTAGTAACCTCAGTTAGGGATGGAGGACCTGTGTCTATATCCCATTCAGGGAGGTGTTGGATGTTCGGGAGGTTGAGCGTGGCTGTGGGCCAATTAAACTGCTCCTCATAATGCTCTTTCCAGCGATCCAGTCATCTATCCTGGGAGCTAATTATATTGCCATTTTTCTCCGAGATTGTTTCACTAATGATTTGTCTTCTCCCACCCGTTTCCCTGAGGAGTCTAAATAGTTGCCAGGTGTTGCCTATCGTCGAAGCTTTTCCATCTCTTTCGCTTTTGTCACCCACCACTGTTCACGGTCCTTGCGGAGACTTTTCGTAAGTTTCCTTTTGTGCAGCTTTCGCTCCTCATTGAATTCGGAGCTCGCCGGAATAAGTCTTCTAGCATCTATCAGTTCGGATGAGGCGGTGGAGATCCAGTGGTTTTTACTCACCTTTCTGCCGTACTTTTGAGTTTATCTATTTTTTTCTGTATCTTTCCCCTACCTTTATATGTGCTTTATGAAATGTGTTAACTTAAGCCGCTGGACTTCTGTGCAAAGTTTTTGGGGAAAATTCGCTCCAGTTCAGTTTTACTCTACTTAGATCTATCTCTATGCATCTGCTCAACGCCCGGTGGTACTCACCCGACCGAAAGCTGCTACCTTGACGTGGTGGTCGGGCTTGCACGTTGCGATGACCCAACAAGCTGCACTGGCTGAAACTAATGTTCCTGCAGGTCCTACCATACCAGGAAGGTTGTTAGGATAGCGATCAGACTAAAAGCAGTTACCGGCTTTGTGTAAGAATCTTTCTTACACTATGCTGGGGGTCTGAGGGCGATGTCGTACTGCTGGGGAACAGGGATGTAACAGCAGTGAGGTGTTTCCCTCAGATGACCAGCATGCCAGCTATGCTGTCTCTTCACTCCGGAGAGAGGGGGTTAAAAAAGGTCGACCCGAAAATTGTACATCTCAACTTACCCTACGGTGGTCAGTAACCGGCGGTAAGTTTACTAATACGGAACCAGTCTCAGAAACCAATTCATACAGGCCGTGTGTGACCGACCTCAAGCAGTTGTCTCCTGGGCCCTGAGGTTACGCAACACTCTCTCTGTTTCAGGTACCCGGAGAATCAATCAACTTCCAAAATGTGGGCAGCCGGGAAGTAACAACCGCCCGCACAATTCCAAAAGCACACGAAGCCTTCCTGAGTATCATTCATCTTTACTCACATCACCTTCCTCATCTTGCTTCTCTACTACAGTTAGTACTATTCTTCAGGCTAGTGAATCATCTTCACTTCAACCTGTGACCACAAACAGTGATGACAGCCATAGAAGCACCCCAGATAGCCTTTTAAAGCCACGCCGCCATCTTCATATAGGAGCATTTAACGTCAGGACCCTCTGCCAAATCGGACAACAGGCATCACTAGCAAGAACTCTGGCATCTCGAGCCATGGATGTATGTCATGTTTTGGAGGCACGCATACAAGACCGCAGTGTGTTCATTCATTTAACCTTACCCAGTCAACAAGGTGAATCTGCAAAATTCACTTTGAGGGTGTCAGGAGACCCTTCAGCTAGCTCGCGAGGACTCGCAGATGTAGGGATAGCACTGAGTGTTAAGGCGGAAAAATCACTTCTTGACTGGATCCCAGTAGATAGTCGTATGTGTGCGGTCTTTCTGAATGGGTCCGTTAAAAGAAGGAAAGACGGCGCTACCCGTCGTTGCCTTTTCGAATCTTAAACCACTGGATGAATAGCACAATAAGAGAGAGGAATATTTACGAACATTTAAGATGAAAAAAGGCCAGTAGTTTTTCTCCACATCTTTTGAAACCTTTTGCAAAGATTATTATCTGATTGTAAAAACAGTGATCAGAATACAAGGAGCAGTTTAAGCCATCATACAAGAATGTGTTTCAGTATGGTGGGAGAAAGGCACTAATAAATAGCGACTCTGACCATAGATGTATATACTACTAATACTACTACTATTCATCCTAATACATTTTTGCTTTTATAACCGTCACTTCCTGTAAAGTACATGGACATATCCACATCTTAGAGACAAGTAGAATGAAAATATACCAGCGAACCCAGGTGATCGTCACCTATCGCTCTTAAGACATGGCCTAAGTATGATCCTATTAGCTTAGATACTATTTTAACTCCTTTATATTTTTATTGAATTCACTATCAGTAAAGAATGGAGTTTTATTTGTAGGTAGATGACTTCTGTACACTGGACCTCAGTATTCACAAATATTTTATGATATAATCAAAAAATAAGCAGTTATCATGATGAATATTTCTGGCTTTGACAGATTTGACAATTCAGTGTCAATTTAAAAAAGAGAGTGAGAGAGGCGAAGTAGAAACGATCTAAACTTGGCAATTTTTCTAAAATTTCATTTGCTAGAAATTACTTTACTGTACATAAAACTGGTAATGAAGTGAATATTTTCAATTCCACTCACATAAATCAAATTTCAATATAGTCAGTCAGATAGGTGAATAACCATAGCCGAACAGTCCGGACTTATGTTAGATAGTTAAAGGCAATTAGCGAAATGCCATGGACACATGTTTCTTGCCTCTTTATACACATCAGCAAATCGCATCTGCAATCTTCAAGGAAGTTATGTTACTTTTAAGATTCAAAACCGCGTCACCTAGTGCTGCATTCAGAGACACTACTACTCAGCGAATCTGGCTTACGATTGACCCGCCATAGGACTGTAACGGATTGATCCATCGGACACTGATGAGTGACTGATCGCATGCATCTAGTCACTAATGTTTATATGTCATTTGTTTGGTAAAATATGTTAGAAACAACTCACTGAGCAATATTGTTATTCAAACACTTTTATCCTTAAAAAATAGCATAGACAAATAAGAAAAGGGAGGGAAACTTCAAACACAAATATCAAACCAATGTTTAGTTCACACTAATTGCAAAATAGAAATTGATCAACTATTCTGTACGAAAACGGATTAAAATTATGTAGACACTAGTCTGAACAAATAAATAAACAGACAAATATGGTTACATTTTCATTCTTGAGTCAATAAAACTTCACATCATGTATATAAACATTCATGACTGTTTTTCAATTGAATAGGAACCATTGATGATTGACACAAAGTTTACGGAACCAACTGAATATACTATGTATAGTGACGTCACAACAAAAGTAGTTTAGTTAAGTAACCATGACGCACTATTCGGTGGATAAGTGCTGCAATCCTATTGCTATTATTCGCTACACAGTAAATACAACACATACCTACATATAAAACAAGCCAATGACTTAAAGTGTAAACACGTGCCATCCGAAATAAAATAGAAGGGGGAGAGGACATTTTATTACAGTTTGTAAAGACAGCTTTGTTTTATAATTCAAAGTCGAAACCAGAAATTGATTTTCTATAAGCCGTAAAACGTAAACACCCGTAATAAAGTGGAATATCATTTGAAAAGTTTGTGGTTAAAATACAAAATATCAAGGTAGATTCTTTTACAGATTGATGAAAATTACGGAACCATTAAAAATCTGAAAGCACTGAAAAGCTATTTCCCTTCTAATTTACAACTCTTTATCATAACCTGACTGGACATCAAATCAAAGACCTCCAGATCATCAGACCAGTGTATCATGAGAAAATAGAGGAACAAGGGAATCAAATGCCTATTGTCATTTATAATCACTTGATTTCATGTAACCAAATTGCTAAAGGGATTTAGTCAGATCGTGAGTATCCACTTTACCCGCAGCTTCCGCCTTGTATTACCTCAGGTAAAACAAGAAGTCATTTCAAAAGACTTTATCCGTACACATCTAAATTCAAAAATTCCGCGATACCATATTCGACACGTGTTTTATGTGATGAAAATAGTGTCGGGCACGAAATAGCTAACCTTCGTACCACTAGTAAATAAACAACTTCCTCCACCCTTAATACATCAAGCTTTACTGTTATTATTATTATTCTTATATTTATAGTCCTCTCAATTTTGTAAACATTTAAGCTCTGTAATTTCTGTTATTTTTTTGTTTTTTCTTTCACAATGACATATCAAAAGAAAATAAGATTCAGTGCTCTATAAGATGCTTAAATTACGATACTGAAACGGGAGTATTGTTTGAAACAAACCCACTGCTATCATTATTACACTTATTATTCTCCTTTTGTACCTTACACATTTTCGACTTTATTTCTACTGTAAAAGTGAACAAATTCCTGTAGTCACTTTTATTTATATTTTGAGGAAATTAGATGCAATATTGTAACAAACGCTGAGAATTACACACTGTATTACAATTACTGTCTCTTAGAGTACGAAACTGGCTTTGTCACTTATAAATGGTAATCTGATCCTGAAAACTATCATTGTCATGTGGGACACTTACAGGGTTAATTAAAATCCACAAAACATAACTATACTCAGTTGTCTATAAAGCTGTCATTCATTAACTCAATATTTCAACGGTATCGGTACTTCTAGAGTTTTCGTGGAAATGGATTATGAAATACTTTTATTTTTGTGATAAAAACTAATATCCTAAGGTGAAATTGCTGACAAAAGGTTTGGAAACAGAAATGAAGCTAATTAAAGTCATATAAAACTGAAAGGAACCCTGTGTTTCTGTAATGGAAATGCTGGGAGTACTCAGCGACCATTTCCTGAAACCATCCATTAGTAAAAAGTGAATAAAAAACATTAAATGTCTCAAATAAAATAAGCATATTCACGAGATTGACATGGAGCCATAATTGAATGGCTTTTGGCTTTTGATTACAGCTTGATTTCACACTGTATTTTTGGCACAAGTATGGAATTTTCAGCATGGATATCGGTAGCCCAAATTTTGCAGGCCGACCATAGATATCAGGTGTGCGTCGGCAGGTGATCGAACGTCGGACCATGCACATAGTCGGCAGTTTTATATTACACTCACCAAAATACACTATTAAGTACTACTCTGTCAGCAGAGATGACTATCATCGACTAAGGCACTTGTCTTTCTGGCAATGAGCTTCAAAGTTCAGATTCAACTTCACCAACTTAAGCTTGAAAACTTATTAGAATCACCAGTTCTGATACAACAAGTACTACTCATAGCCCAATACCTGAAAAGTCCGTTTCAGGTAACTGAGTTATCATCAACACTACTGACGACGGTAAAAAAAGTAGTTCATGTGTGACTAATTTGCCATATTCTTCACTAAAACAAGCACACATTGGTAAAGGCTCTATACAACTTTGTTCTCCATTAGTTAGGATGCCGCGAAGTCACTACACCAACAGACTGTTGACAACCCAGCTAGCATTTTTTTCGGGCGCATTGCAGAATTTTTGGGGCAGACTTCGGGCAAATTGCAGAATTTTTGGGTAACTTAGAGACTTTTAAAAGTCTCTAAAATAACAAAAAGCACGTTGTGTACCCTGCACTAAATATATTGCAAATCAAGTAAACCCAGTGTGTTCGTACTCTAAATATTACATGGTATACCAACAATAAGAATCCCTCAAAGACTTATTTTTAATAGTTACCAAACAGGTAGAAATTTGGAGTACAAGGAACCTATTCCAAACTTTTTAAACAGCATATATTGAAAAATATTGGCAGTAACAATATTGCATATCCTCTATTTTTTGATCAAAACTCTGAATCTCTTCTTGACCTTACATTTTTTAACGTGTTAATAGTCTCTTTAGTAAAGCAAGGTGAATACTTCCCATGTCTTTCACACCACGTTTGGCACCAGAAGTATAAACATCAATCTAAAATACATGGATAACAACTTATTTGTCCTTCAATATCCTTGAGACAAATACCAGATGTCTAAAACATTTATAAGAAGCACTTACGCTGTGTGCACTAGAATACATAACATCATTTGGCTTTACACCTGACTGGTTGGTTGACTCATTTGTGAAAAGAAGATCGTAATCGCTGAGCTTGTCGATGGCACCAGCACTTACGACTGGGAAAGATGTCGATCCACTCAATTCATGAAATCCACATTTTTCGGACTCAGGATAATTTACCAAGTAGTCAAATGCAGAAAAACTCTTACACCCATAGTTTTCTGAGTCCTTTGAATGTTTTGCAAGGGAATCAAGGAGTGCTATGTTACTTTTTGCACTGGAGTCTGTTGGATTCTTTGTGGGAATTAAAGGGTCAAACAATAACTGAATTTCCGAAAAATTTTTGATGGAGCAGTTAACATCCCCTTCAAAATCAATTAAATCCTTCGACTTTGTAATTTCATCCTGCCGACGAGGCATTATTAAGACTGAAATTCATGCTATAAAAATGCTGCACATGAACACGTTGCATCAAAAATTCAAAATACACACTAGTTACATGTAACGGTCATGGTGTAATAAAAGCAAGGTGACCTAGAAAACTATGTTCAATATCAATGGTATTCAGGTACAGAAACCCAGCTAATTACTTGCCGCAATGCCCAAAAATTTGAAGAGTAAGCTTCAGTTAAATCTTTTATTAGGCTTTCAATACAGCTTTGGGGTTATTATTTATGATTTTTTTTCCTTTCACGTTCCCCGGTGGAACATAGGTCCTTAAGCCAGTGGCTTGAAGTTTCTGTAGCAGTGTTTATTTTAAAGGATGGGGTTGCTAGCCTCATGCCCAACCTTTCCTCTTTACCAGTCTTATTTCTGGCATAGCGAGGTAAAGGAGTGCGTCCGTGGCCGGGGGATCGAACCCAGGACCATGTGCATGGTTGGCGAGCGTTCTAACCACTGTGCCACCGACGCACATTAGTTATGAATAAACTGGAGTAATCCGACGTGGAAGTGAATATTCGCGATGTCTTACAATTTCGTTGTTTTTCACGACACTGGTATGATAAGAGTGAGTCTAGAAATTGTGATTGTAATCTGTAATTTTAATCTGTAAATGAAGTAAATACTCATTTTCAGAATCTGCCGGTGGAAAGAGCATTTACAGAAGTCCAACTAGTAAGATGTCTGTGACTGTTGGACTCGCATGGACCATTCTTACTGACTGTAATAGGTGTTTGTTGTTGATTTGCAGGGCATCTTTATCACTTCAAATATCCAATATCGTTTTTACGAGCAATTATATGCCAATTTGATTTCTTTGTGCTCTCTTCTTGATTGTAAGGTTCCTGATCTTCGATAAGCTTCTGCGTAGTTTGCCCCGCCAGACGACCGTCGTAGATTTGGTTGACTCCAGAAGGATTGTTGCTGGGATTAATTGTATATTGTTTGTAGTATGGGATGTGTTAAGACTGTGACTCCTGTGAATGGAGTTGATCCTTTCGCCAGCAAGTCCTCCGATATCGTCCTTAAAAAAAGAGATAATAATAAATATAGATATAATTAGTGTAAGTTATTCAAACTAAAAGACAGAAGAAGAAACAAAGAAAACGCAAAAAGAGACAGCTAATTAAATTTGAAGTTGATGTATGTAATATCGGTCTCAATAATAATGAGTGTAGCAGTTGAAGTTGTTAGGAGGGAATGCGTAGAAGTAAAACGACAAATTTAGTTGACTGTCCTGAAAGGTGTATGGGATTTTAAGGGGATAGGCCGCTTAAACTCAGTGTTTGTGTCTCTGCCTGACTGCCCAACACTCGCTTAAAGATGTCTACAGACTGTGCAATAGCTGCATCTGCCGGTAAGGAGTTCCAGGGACGGCAAATCCGAACTGTGAGCGCACTCGGGTATTTGCTCTCTGGTGAGCTATCCCTCTTGCGTTTCCACGTGGGAGCCTATACCTACTCAATGGCGGAACACCTCTGTTTGGTCGATTCTGGTCGTTTGTGATTTTGACGGCGGTGATCGAATCCCCTGACAGTAGCTAAGTGTGAATAGGCTTAATTTCTGTAGCCTTTCATCATATGGTTTATTTCCGAGACCAACGACTTCTTTTGTCGCCCGTCTTTGGACTCTTTCCAGGAGGTTGGTGTCTCTTCTAAGCAGAGGAGGTGCAATGATATTATGCAATTCAAAGTGTGGTCTGACGTATGTTTTGTACGAACTTGGAAAGAGCTCAGGAGTGAGAGCACATAACTGTCTATGCGTAAAGTGTTTGGCTGCACTACGTTTCCCGTGTAATTTACACCTTTGTTCATTTCTTCCGATAGAACTGCACCTCAGTCGCGCTCCAACGTAGTACAGGACAAGCTTTCGTTGCACGGAGTGTAACTTGCATTCTGTAGCCAACTGGTGCGCGATTTAACTACTTTGCACTTTTTCAGGTTGGAAGTCAGGCCACTGTCCACCCCCCAATCTCCCAGAAGCCTTCGATCAGCCAGTAGACTATCTGAGTCTTCCGGACACTTTATTGCCCTCCATATCTTTTCCTCGTCAGCGTACAGAAGAGTCGGACAGCTTAGACGGCATGGTAGGTCATTGAGAAAAATCAAAAAGATCATTGGTCCTAGGAGAGAACCCTAAGACGCTCCTGATGGCTAGCTGTGCCAAGATGATCGGACTCGATCGACCTTAGTTCAAAATTGCCTCTCAGCTGGGTAGTCCTTCAGCCATGACAGAAGTGGCTTACCTATATCTGCCTGACTTATTTTGTGTGGGAGGTCATGATGAACTGTGTCAAATGCCTTCTCAAAGTCTAGGAAGACCATAGGGACTGAAACATTCATATCCCAGCATGATGTCCAATCGTCCTAAGCTGATGGCAGATTTTTTGGCACAGAATCTTCCTTTCCTGAAACCGTGTTGGGTCTCATGGAGTCTGTTAGTCCTATCGGGGTGCTCCTTGATGTGATCATCAATATTCCTTTCCATTGCTTTTGCTACCACTGGGAGTTAGGCTACCGGTCTACTACTACTGGCAGGGTGGCGTTAGCTGATCAGTAGATATGGTGGTGGTCACTAAGGTGAATCGCCCCATTCTGCAGGAACAGCAATATACAAATTAAAGGCTCGAGATATTTCTGATTTTTATGAGGGCTTAGATCTTTATCTTGAAAGAGATAATAGTGAACGCCTTGACAGATCATGCTTCTACCTTTAAATATATACCATTCGCTCAGCCTATTGTTGAGATGCGACCACGTGGGATCTGCACAGATTTATGGGGCATCTTATAAATTAACTTGCTATCCATTGTCAGATCTTTAAATGCCACTTCATAATATCTTGTCTCACTTATTTTCTAATAACGTCTTTACTTGATTCTCATTATATTCCATTAAACCTAACATTTTATAGCTCTTTATGAATTTGATTCGACTTATTCTATTCCTATTCTCTAGAGGGTACGGTTGTGCACCAAATAGAAAAAAGACATGAAATAAAAACAACTGGCTTGAAAATAATTGTATTAAAGCCAAAAATGGACATCATGATAGTATAAAATATATTGGTTTCATTATACATTGCAAATGAACGTTGTCGGCCTAAGGATTAATTACCTCCCCATTCTGTTTTCTATATAAATGTGTTTATTAATGATATATTTCACTCACTTAATCTATTACACTTTAATGTTTCACCACAGCACTTCAATTTTACTAAAACAGCTTCCAATTCCTTATAAACGTATTACTTACCTCAATATTGGTTGGTTATCGTATGCCTACAACCACGGGATGAAAACGAAACGAAGTCGATTTTCCCGCTCAACCTGAAGGACAACTGTACAATTCAATAACTATACAGCCTAGTTCAGACAATGTGTATTTATATATATATCAAATATTTAACTGTTGAAACATTATTAAATTGTAGACAATTTAAGATTTGACATTATATCATCCTTGATCGTGCCTGTAAAAATGGCATGCATTTTCATGTAAATTTATGTTTATATGAAAATAAATTATTATTATTATTATTATTATTATTTTGCTTACTCCAACTGTCAGCCACGTCTCGTAAACCGTTAATGCCCAGCTCTTGCTACGCTCGGGCTCACGCTGTTCCTTGAAGTTTCTCAGAAACGCTTAGTAATAACGGACGAAAAAACCAAAACACCAATTGCTGACTCGAGGATTCTTTATTGTTACACCAACATATAAAAAATATTTCCACTAAGGTCTGTGAACAAATATTACAATAATAAATCACAATATTACTTCTGACAGTTTTGGCCTGACTTCTTTCTGAACAGCGACCGATGAGACGATGACTGTCGTATTGATGCCTCCGCGAAAATTGGGGAAGTTGGTTTTGAGCAAACAACCATGAATTGATCGTTCAATCTTCAACTACATTGACACCAACCCTTATAAATGGGATAAAGAAGGACTATTTTTCACTCCCTTGGCAGTTTTCCCGAATCCTTGAGTATCGGCATAAATCGCATACAGAGAGCTTTGGCGCGCTATTTCAGAGCAGAAGGCCTGATGTTACAACCTGGGGACTTTCTAGATGAGTTTCTGTTGCTATTGCCAGGTTTATTTCGGGATTAGCCACTAGGTTTTTAGTAGTGCCTCCATTTGGTCCTCACCACTTATGTCAACGTCGTTGTTTAACTATTTGGCGAAGGCTAAACTGAATGCTTAAGCCATCTCGAGACCAATGAGTTATTGACCTACTAGGCGCATGCCCCCTGGTTGGATTTTTTTTTCCGACACGAATCGATTCAGGTTTCTTGGGTTAGCCGGGAGATTTTTCGCAAAGTTAGCCTGAATGACTTCCTGTTACTCCTGACTTTTACGTTGCACCGTTTCCTGAGTTCCAGGCCTGGGTCATGGTCGGTCTAACTCCTAGATACCCGCCACGTAAAGCAAGCCTTCCGCTTTACCTTCAGAATGCGTTGTGTACCTGCCGTCATCCATGAATAATCTCTTTAACCACTTTTTAATTTTCGTCCTGTATTTCAAATGGTTTTCAGTGGATTTCAACCGAATTTTCCTGAACACACCCCGAGCCAAGATTCAGCGATGGGGCATTGAAATCTTCGGGTATGGTGATTTGGTCATAGCCCGAGTCACGTATCCCTGCGATGGTCCTGAGCAGTAGTTGGTTTTGCTCTGCCCCACAAGTGGGTGGTCGGTAGATGCTACCCAGTAGGTGTTTGGTGAGGCTTACGGTTAAATGACACTTTATAGAATTTGGGAGTTCAATAAGTGGTGAGTCCACTGCACGTACACATTAAAGTCAATTGCCAAAGAATGTGGCAAATCTCCGCTTCCTTTTTGTCCCTATCTCTCCTGACCGTAACCATGTTTCTTATACTTATTTCGTTGTCGGCGGTAGTAGGGTTAGCCAGGTTTCAGTGAGAGTGATTATTTTGGGGTGGAGGTATAACTGAAGGTTTCTGAGTTTACCTA